CTACCAATTCTATGAATGCATCTCAAAAACCTACTCTAAGAATATGGCTGTTTCTTTGTGCAATAAATACTGTATAGAGTTATTTAAACTTCAAAATATATATTAGGACCCCCGTATCTGCAGGATCCATATCTGCAGTTTTAGTTATCCACAGTTTACCATACTCTTATATACAACATAGGAAGGGGAAGGCCTTGTGGTCTTTGTCCCATCTCTTTGTATGCTGCATATAGGATTTGCTACCATCTGCAGTTTCAGGCATTAGTGGTAGATAGTGGAATAGATACCCGATGGATATGAGGGTCCTACTGTACTGTAAAATGTCATTGACACTGTGTTAAAATGAAATTCAAAACATAATAAATTATACCTTAAAAACAATTAATTAAAATACACCTGAATGGTTAAAACATTTAAACTTTAAAAACAAATTTGCTCAGCTAAAAACCATCATTCAGGGACTCAGTTATGATCATTAAAATCCTGTCTGAAGAGATAGGTCTTCAAATGTCAGCAGATGGATAAAAAGAAAGGGAGAACATTCCACAACTTCAGAGCAGCCACAGAGAAGGCCCTCCCTCGTATCCCCATCAAACATGTCTGTGATGGCAATGAGATTGAGAGGAGGGCCTCCTCTGCTGATCTTAAGGACTGGGAAGGTTTATATGAGGAGATAAAGTCCTTCAAATAGCCTAGACCCAAACTGTAGAAGGCTCGATAGCAAAGAACCAGACCTTTGAATTGAACCTTGTTATGTTTCTGCCTGTCCCTTGGTTGTTTCACCAAGCAAAGCCACCTGTTGTGTCCCTGCCACCAGTTGACTACATCAGCATTGTTTATTATTAATGATAGAGGTCCAGGCAATGTGTCATTTTTAAAAGAACCAAATAGAAGTTATTTATTATTACAGGTGTCGGTAACTCTTAACAAAATATCCTACTTCATCAACTGCCAACCCTCTCTCCACTCGCCCACTCCAAATTTTTCAATCCTCCCTTCTCCCTTTCCTGCAGAGACTCTTACATCTGGTGACTCCGCCTCTCCAGCACTCTCATGGGTACATGCAGATAGCTCATTAATATTCATGACCTGGTAAAGTGCCGCAGATCTGAAAACGGACTGGTAAGCAGAGCAGTTGTTGTAGGAGGGGTATTATATGCACCACATAGCTGACCACTATTAACAGTCTGGCAGGTACATTTTGAACCAATTGAAGTTTTCAAACTGTCTTCAAAGGCAGTCCAACATAGAGGGTGTTACAGTAATCCAAATGGGGTGTAACTAAGGCATGTGTCACTGTAGCCAAATCAGATAGGGTAAGAGGGATAGAATCTGTAACACAGGCCACGTCAACATGCTCATCCAGGATCAAGTCTTGGACAGCTGATGTTCTGCCTTTCTCTGACCTGGCATTCAGCAGCAGCATTTTGAACCCAGGAGGAACATTACCACAGCCATCCAGACTTTCTGAACTGGGAGATAGTTTGGGGGTAATCAAGATCCTGTTCCTTCCCCGACTCCTACAGCAGCTTTCCCAGGTGGCAAATGTCAGTGGGAGTGGAAGGTGGAGGCATCCACCTTACAGCAAAGCCCTAGCCCGCTAAGAGATAGAATCTGCAGGATGTCAACAGGCCAAAATCCCACAATGATGGCGTGCAGAAGCCAGGAGGCAGCAGTGGTCACTGTTGCTCCCACCGTGCTCTCCTGGGTCAGCAGATGTTCAGAGATTCTCTTCAGGAAGGCAGGAATGCTGATGTTATAAGCTCTAGTTTTAAAGGTTTCTTTTTCCTCAGCCAGCTGGCAAACCACAGTGGGAGGAGAAGGTGGAGGCAGAAAATGTACAGTGAAGCACTGGTGCTGCTAAGAGATGTAGGGGCAGCTTCCAGAGTTCTAGGGGTTGCACATACCCACCTCTAGATTTTGGAAGGCTGCCTGTGCAAAAAAAAAGCATAGACATTTTTGGAGGATACAGGGACCCCAGAGGTACAGGAGACCCTCAAAACATGATAAAATTCCACCTTACTCACCATAGAGGGCGGGAGACTTTTTGCGCCCATGTTCTTTCATTCTTTTTAAAACTGGAGAAGGTACATGTAGCGTTCACCCTGCTCATTAATATTTATGTTGAGATTTGCATGCACCAATAGGAGTTTGTGGGGGCAGAGTTAAGTGGGGTGAAGAAAATAAGGGAGGGAGAGAAAGAGAATAAGCAGTTGAGAGTGGAGAAAGAAGGTTGTTTTAGTTGAGAGTTAAAAACATTGACTGAACTGTTATCACCTGTAACAATAAACAATTTCTACTTAGTTCATAAATGATGTTGCCTGGACCTCTGTCATTAACAGTGAATAAAGTTGATGTAATCAACTGGTGGAAGCTGAACGACACTTTGCTTGTGCTTTTGCTTGGTGAATCAAGAGAAAGATGGGAATGTGACAAATTGATTGATTGATTGATTGATTGGAGCTGAATGACACTTTGCTTGTGCCTTTGCTTAGTGAAACAATCAAGGGAAAGATGGGAATGTGACAAATTGGTGGCATAGTGTTCGGATCTGAAACGATCCCGTGTGAAATTGAATCTTCTTGAGTCTGGACTTGGTGGCATAGCGGTCGGATCTGAAATGATCCAGTGTGAAATTGAATCTTCTTGAGTCTGGACGGAAAAGGGGTTAGGGTCTGTGGTGTAAGAAGTGGTTACCCATTAGAGTGTTGTGGAAGACTTAGTTTTGGAGCTTCTGAACCCGGGTCTGGGGAATCCCAAGAAGAGATCCTTTTGGCTCTTGTGAGGGAAAAGAACCAGTCCAATTTAATAAGAAATTGTATTGTTTATGCCACGTAAACAAAGTAAAACATTGGTTATGGAGGCACAGGTTGAGCTCCAGGGTGCTGAGGGAAATGGGAACCCTCAAATTCAAAGTGACGAAGAAACTGAGAGACCAGTAATAATTGCCTCAGAAGGAGAAAATATCCAAAGCTAGAACAAGAATTTAAACTGAGGAGTTAGCTATGAAAAACCAATTAGAATTGGAAAAAGAAAACAGGAAAAGGGAATTTGAGCAAGAAAACAGGAAAAGAGAAAGAGAAATGTTGTTCCAAATTGAGATGAAGAAATTGGTAATAGCTGCCCGAAATAATAATAATAATTCCAGTGTGGGAAATCCTTCAAATATCGATCTAAAGATATTTCCCCAATATCAGAAATCCTTCAAATATCAATCTAAAGATATTTCCCCAATATCAGAAAGGAGACTGTCCTGAATGTTTCCTGATTTCCTTTGAGAGAGCTTGTTGGGACTTCAGGGTTAAAAATGATGAGTGGATTATAATTTTAAGGTCACAGATAGAGGGAGTTTTATCTGAGATCTATTCACAGATGCCTCTTGAACAAGCTAGAGATTTTGAGGTTTACCAAAAAATGGTGTATTCCTAATTTGGAATTAATTCAGAGCATTTGGGCCCTGGTGCTGCTTGCTACTTGCCTTGACATTGTGGAAATCCAGAGGTGGATTTTCTTATGCAAGGACTTGTGAGCTTGATTCTGATACCAACAACAAACTCAGGAGCTGAGAATATGCTTAGAAGACCCCTTCCTTAATTCTTAGCATATATCTGTCTTCCTCAATCATTATTTTGCAGCTCTCTCTGTCTTGTGTATCTCAGGAATCTCCTAAAAATCAAAGTGCATCCTGAAAACTTAGGATCTGCCTATCTGTGATCCAGAAATGCCCCAGGCTTGGTATCAAAATGACAGCTGCTTGTTTGCTAGCTTGTTACATTTAATATGACTTTATCAGGCTTCATATATAGATGCTAAAGAGACAAGATGACAGAAATCCATGGATCATCTCTCTATATATTTCAGGGCAAAATATTTTCAAACATCAGGGAGTATATCAAAATTGCTTAAACCTTTACAAGTTTAAAATATATATTTAAAGTACCAGTCTTATTTGGTAGCAACATTCCTGAGCCACAGTTACTTTTTAGCAGCTACTTTAAAATTCAATCACAAGTATTAACAATGTATTATTTTAATACATTAGAAGCAATAAACACTCTTTTCTAAAGCAGTAGAAGAGATGTGGCTAACCATAACTGAAAAAATGTGGCCAGTATCTCACTTTCCTGTTACAATTTGACAAGGTCACACAAGTGTAAATCACTTACTGAATTCCAGCAATAGTGTAGTTGAACTAATCTATTTCTCCCCACTCTGCCACTAACATTACTGGTAAGTGCAGAGGGAAGAGTCTTTGGAGTAGCAGATGGCATCATTTTCTCCACTAGCCAAAAGGTCTTGGTCCTTACACCAAGCAAGCCCTGACTCTACTACACCCATGGCTTCCACCTCAATTTCCAGATTTCTTGCTACAACCAAGATATTTGGGATTATACCCTTGTCAAATGTTTTCCGCCCAAATAAACATTTGTTTCCCATCCATGCACATACGCAAGCAAACTTTTTACACCAAAGTGTAATGCGATGTATTCTTTTGGAAGTGACATCTCACCTGTAGGCAAATTCGCTCTGCTACTTGTAATTTCAAGGGAACGCTCCTAGTTACATTTTTCATGATTCTTTCAATATAAGGAGAACTGGATTTTTTTGAATGTGTCCTTGAATCTTTTTCTGCTCTGGTAATCTGAGGAATACTCCACCTCTCCTTTTAATTGATCTAAATAATCAGCAGGTTCTAAAGCAGTGGTTCCCAACCTTGAGTAACCCAGAGGTTCTTAGACTACAATTCCCAGAAGCCTTCACCATCAGCTCTGCTGCCTTGGGTTTCTGGGAGTTGCAGTCCAAGGACACCTGGGTTACTCAAGGTTGGGAACTACTTTTCTAAAGCATTTTCTGGATACTGATACAGTATGTACCATAACCCTACAAGTGAAAGTGATAAATATTTCAGCATGCTTGAAATACTTATAATTGTTCCACATATGAAAACCAGCAAATACAGAAGGTTTTTCAGCATACTTGTCTTAGACATTACTGTACATTTTTAATTGTCTTATGTCAAAGATCAAAAGATTATGCAGTTAAGACTTTCTTCTCTTCCTGGGTCACTTCTTGCAACTTTTTAGCCTTACGTTTCTTTGCAAGATATGCCCCATAGCTGACATCAGGGTGGGAACACACAGAACAGCTTCTGCATACATTACCAAAAGTCTTTCCGATGCCAGACCGTTCATCTGTAAGACATAACAGGTTATTTGCAGTTTTTTAAAATGCTCATAACCCCATGGTGGTCATGAAGTCTGAACCTCCCATGTTCCTAGGGACATTTTCAGGGACTTTCAGCAGTCATCTTTTTCAGTATGTTCAAGGAAGCCTTTAACAACAACAAAAATGTTAAGCTACCATGAAAAACATTATATATAATATTTTCTGCTGCCATTTCATTGACTTTTTTGTGATTAATACGTTAATTTCTTTTCTTGTTGTTGTGAACCTGGCCTGAGTATGCTTGGGTGTTGAAACTGTGGGTCATACATGTAAACTATTGTCAGAAATCTTGAGGTTGAAACCAGAGTTAGTCATGCTCAGAACAGACCTACTGAAATCAATAGCTAGTTACAGCTACAGTAAGTCCCACTGATTTCAGCAGATTTAATCTAAGCAGGACTAATAATCATAAACTATAGAAGGGGCTCAGAAAACTGGAAGTTGAAACCCCGGCCCATGCAAAATATTAGGGTTGTAGATTTTATTCAACGTCCACCCTCTTTTCTTCTGTCCTTTTTAAAATTACTTCCAGTTATGAGATCTTAAACTTTGGAGCCTGAGATTCTGATGAAACAAGCTAAATAACATTTTAAATAGCCAAATACACCAGGTTCTTTGTCATGACAAACCAGAGAGCAGCAGTGGAAACCACTGGAATGGGAACTGAAGGGAAACAAATCAAGAGGAGGCATGCGAGCTGTAGGTGGCATGTGAGCTTCCCAGTCCTGCCTCCGATCACGAAGTAAGACACGAATGCAATCCTGTGAAGGGGCCCATTGTAAACAGTCAGTTTCAAAGAGTAAAATCCCAAGTCCTTACGTGGAATATGACCAGTGTATTTGGGCAGCATTCCTTCAGGCCTGTAGAATCTCTGGTGTGGGCGTGTTACTTTGGGCTTGGCTACCTGGACCTCTTCCCTAGGATGATAAAAAAAAAGAGAGAGTCACCATTAGAGCTTGAGTGTTTGCCACATTCCAGCTTCAATGATTATAACAAGCTTCGTGCAGTCTGTGGTTATAAATGACACACCCACTAAATGCAAGAGCCACAATATAGTTCTTGGTATGTTGATATATTCACTTTTTCAGTAAACCTTAATTCACATGGTAAACTCGCAGGGTTTTTTCCTTACAGGGAAAATTGATTCAGTGTATGTGTGTGCCATCAAGTCAATTTTGACTTGTGACGACCCTTTTCAGAGTTTTCTAGGTAGAGAATACACAGAAGTGATTTACCATTCTGTTCTTCTGGAGGTCACACAGGCTGGCTCTACTTGTAGGAGGCAGAGTGGGAGATTGAACTTCTAACCTCTGGCTCTACAGCAAACAACTGAGCTACTCAGCCAGTTCAGTTAAGTCAGTAGTGAATTATATTAGACAACCACCCTGCTAGCTAACAGAATTTATTTATTTATTTAAATTAAATGCATGGTTGCTGCTATTGACTGACAACTGTGTTTGTGGGGTCCTAGCTACAAGTGTGTTTGAAGGTGGGGGAGAAAATGAGAGAACGAGTGCTAATAACTGCCCAGCACTGAAAACAGGTGGAAGAGGCAAACAGCAGTCAGTAAAAACATTTCTAATGTTGTGGCAGAATTCTGGAGTGAAGGAATAGGGTGATGAAATATCCGTGTTAAAGCCTGTCTGTTTAGTTGTACAAACGAATCAGTGTATGTTTCAATGTGTGTGTTTGTGAATGCCTGTGTGTATATATAATACTTTTGCTCCAACACTTATCTGTCAACCTGGCTCTGCCCCCTCCCCATGCCTTCTGCCCAACAACCAGAAAAAGCATCAACCACCAGTGGGCTCCAGCCTATGGAATCCTGGGATTTGAAGCATAATACTAAAGATTCCCTGTTAGAGTCCTAATACACTATGGAAGTGAGAGCTGGACCATAAAGAAAGCAGACCGCTGAAGAATTGATGCCTTTGAATTGTGGTGCTGGAGGAGTGACAGGTCTCAAAGTCAACCTAGGAATTGTTCATTGCAATTCAGTGTATAAGTTGTTACAGGATCAGGATTTAGTGAAGCAACATGTAACAAGAGTAACACAGCTGAGTTAATTGAGGCAGCTGTGTGACAATCAATTTGATTGGTTCAACCAAGAATAAAACTAGCCAAGCTTACAGACACAAACTGTTGGGTAGTTTGGGTGGTTGGATTGTTGTGTTGCTGGTGATCGTGTTGTTGAGAGTTGTATATACTGCATCGCTGGATGAAGACTTGCCATATTGCAAGGAGAAGATCCTGGAGGAAGACTATCTCCGTGGTGAGAGGAGAAGACTTCGTGGATGCTGGACTATTTATATTGGTAACAATCTTTGGTTACTGAAACTGTAATTTACCATTGCTAACTGAAGAACTACTGTGAATGACCAGGACTGTGTAAAGACCAAGAGAAGCTGTATTTATCCCTGTATATATCAACTTTATTGTAAATAATACTATCAACACTACAACAGAGTCTGTTTGGTTTCATCTCTGAGCAGTTCACTTCACCATTACGCCCCCTGGCGTAGTCTGGTAACGCAGCACCTCTGTCAAGGAGGCTCTTGAGAATCCCCTGGATTGCAAGGAGAACAAACCTATCAGTTCTAAAGGAAATCAACCCTGAGTGCTCACTGGAAGGACAGATCCTGAAGCTGAGGCTCCAGTACTTTGGCCATCTCATGAGAAGAAAAGAGTCCTTGGAAAAAACCTTGATGTTAGGAAGGTGTGACGGCAAGAGGAGAAGGGGACGACCGAGGATGAGATGGCTGGACAGTGTCTGCGAAGCAACCAACATGAATTTGACACAACTCCGGGAGGCAGTGGAAGATAGGAGGGCCTGGCGTGCTCTGGTCCATGGGGTCACGAAGAGTCGGACACGACTAAACGACTAAACACATACACACAATACACTCCCCTGAACTACAGCACTAGAGTTCACAGACAGAGAATTTCAAGTCTTTCACCAAACTGCAAATCCCAGAAGTCCACAGGATGAAGCCAAAGAAGTAAAAAACAGTATCAAGCTGATAGACACTATGGTATAGACAGAATCTTGTATCAATGTTACTTCTCAAATTGTAAGATATTTATCCCAACATACATGGGTTCTTTGCTATGAGGATCATGCTTGATTCTACCCAAGGTATCCTTAAAATCTTGATAGCAATTTTCTGCCATCACATGGTAGCGTACTCCGTGGCCAAACTCCGTCACCTTGGACCTGGGTACAAAGCCCGTCCAGCCTGGAATGGGTGGCTCAGGTAGACTTCTTCTTGATTCCACAGGCCCTGTAAAATTGTCAAATGGAGTATAATTTGAAACCTTACTGTAATGAAAAGTTACCCTACCTGAAGTGAGGAAAACAATACAAATTACGCCCATCAAATTATCTAAGGAAAGAAAACTCAAACCATGCTTGACTCCCCCGCCCCACCATTTCCACAAATACTTAGTATTACATCCCTGAGGTAAATTGGTAACACCTGTGAAATCTTGTGGCTTGGGCCCCCAATATCTGCCACAGAATAGCCCATTGTTCTGATTTTTAGAACAACAGGCTGTGACAGGCTGGCCAGCTGCAGCCCATGTGCCACAGAATCCCTGTCCTTATATTAAGTAGCTCAAAACAGACTACAAGGAGATGGAGAGGAGGAGGAGAGACATGGAGTGGAGTATACTGAACAGACTCAAAGAGGAACATTTTGTTTCAGCCCCTACTTGTACAAATGCAACACAGAGATAATAAATAAAAAAACCTTCCTTTTGGAAAATTAACTGTGAGAACATCCATTACTTCATTTTGTTCCTTCATGGGAGTGTTTAAGAGGTCATGGAGCAGGTCCTTGTAAACTGGAGAGAAAATCTTTGATAAAAAGCCATTTTTGTTGCTCCTTGACTGCAGTAGTGAAGCTATCAGAGCCTTTTGTCACGGCTTAGTGCTGGTAATCTCAGAGATGATTTTGCCTTTTTTTTAATCTTCTACAAAAGTTCTAGGAAAAAAACTCCTAGTACTTTACTTAAACAAGGAACTCCTGTCACCCTCTTAACCACTACAATTCATCAAAAGAAAAGTAATAGGTTTTGCCCCTTCACACGCAACAGTGAGGCCACACATGGGCTACTGCCACTAATTCACCCTACAGCAAAGGAAAAAGGCTGCACAGAACAGTATGGGAACAAAAGCAACATTTTACTTCAAAAGGAAATAAAAGGAGCCTTAAAGCTGCCACATTCTACTCTAAGAAAAGAGCAAAAAAAATCATTCGCAGGCAGTTTTTGTCACAATGGTTCATGGCAAATAGGAATTTATTCTGCTACTGAAGATGGTAAGCCCCTCACAACATAAAATTTTGCTCAGCAGCCATGCAGATCGAAATGTGTATAAAGGCAGAACGCCATACACTCAAACGTGTCTCCTTATGTGTTATGAAGCCAGAGCCAGGGAACACTGAAAGCTAGAAAGGAAAGCTGGATTCATGAACCAAGAGCATGAAAAAAATTGGGAAGCCGGTCCTTTCACTCACAGGAAGAGAACTGCACAACACTTGAGTCACCCAGTGGTGAGTCATAAGCCACACAGGTGACATGCTATGATATAAGCAACATGGGAAGCTACCTAATACTGAGTCAGGCACACTGGTCCATATAGTATTGCTAACTCTTGAGTGTCAGCAACGGTCTAGAATTTCAGGTGGAATATCCTCCTAGCCTTATCTGGAAATGCCAGGAAATAAACCTGTGACCTCTTGCATGCCAGGTCTGTGCTCCCCTATGAAGTATCAGTTTCCCTCCTAAGTTAGCCGGTCCACCTCCAGGTTTCTGGGTTCTTTCAAGAGGCAAAGATAGAAGGTAAAGCATCAAAAGTGGGTCCAGTGATTCAGTTTAGGTAAAACAGCCCTTCTTATATTTCAGAACTTAGGAAGATATAGTGAAATGAATAGATACAGTAGGTCAGGTTTTAACAGATATCCAAGCAAAATGGATGCGTATTATTGACAAGACCCACAACTCCAGCATAACTTCTGCAGTGGCCACAGCAGAAACTTCAAATTAAAGCATCGTCCACTTGTCCATGGCGTTAAGGCAACAAAGTCGAGAGCAGATGCAGCTAAACCTCAAAATCATTAGAATGAATGCATACTAACCCACCACATTGGGATGATGTTTGTAGTTATAGTCATCAAGTACATTTATAATCTCTTCGTTGGAGCAAATAGGCGGTAGCCGTGGTGCTGTAGCTGCTATACACCTCAGTTCATTCATTTGGTCACTCTTTTTCTGAGTCGTCTCACGAAATGCATTCACACACCACACAGAATCATTTCCGTAACTACTGCCAATTCGGTAGAATCTAAGAGGGATATAGCCTAGAAAAAAGCAACAGGAAACCATAAGCCATGTGAGAAGTCAACAAGAGGCTAAGTCAGATTTCATGAACCTGGAGTCCTAAAACTCTCCTGGTTACCAGCCTGAAGGGTAGAAGTCTTGGCACACTTTTCTGTGGTTCCAGGCCCAGAAATATGGGAAGTATAATCAATCTGTAGGTTCACAGTAAATGTGTCAAAAGGAAGACACATTTTTGGCTGTGGATCCTTCTCCACACTGACCTCACCTCATCATTCTAATATTTATTGCCTGACAATTAATGTGGAACAGAATTTTTTTTTGTTTCCTCACTCTGAATGTGCACATCACTACATTTCCAGTAGTCCCATGGTACAAAACCACAAACAGTCCTTTATTTCATATTCTAGAACACTGGTTCTTAACCTTGGGTTACTCAGGAGTTTTGGACTGCAACTCCCAGAAGTCTTCACCACCAACTGTGCTGGCTGGGGTTTCTGGGAGTTGCAGTTCAAAAACATCCGAGTAACAAAGGTTAAGAACCACTGTTCTAGAACACCTTTGCCTTGATTTAGTTTAACATGCACCATTAAGCACAGAGGGCTGCCTCCTGAGCTGAGTGCTCTTCCAGTGGAAACTCTACTCAAGAGGAGAAGTGATTGGCACAATGAAGTTCCCTCAAACCAAGCTGTGGCAATGAGGAAGATGGAAAAGGCAACTCAATAGGGTTCCTTATATTGATACAGAGGTGAGAAAAACCCAAGCAATTACGGTTCACTGGATGAAATCCTATTGCTTAGCCTCACAGTAGAGTAGGGTCATTGAATCAGTGGGGATTTGGTGAGCCAACTCATGTTAGTTCCATTGATTCAAATAGGTCTACTCTACTTGTGACTTATATTATTAACACAGTAAGTTGCATCCGGAGTAGGCCCATTTGAATCATTATAGGCACGCACTCACCAAACCTCCACTGAGTCAGTGTATCTAGTCTACTGAAACTTACGCTAAGCAACAGGGTTTCAGCTAATAAAAAAATAAAACTCATAAATTTAAGGTTCCTTTTAAATTGCTGTATGATATTCAATTACTGTACTACAGAAACAGTCAAAGACTATTTGGTGTTGGTATTCCCTTTTTACAACCTATTGAATAATACCAACCAGGTGTCTGGTGGAGAACAGGAGGGGCTGAAACAATCTCAATGGTGCTACACACAGCTCACCTGATCTATGTACAGGCTGCACAGTCACTGGTTTTTAACAATTTCTGAGCACAGGAATGTACATTGATTACACAGCATTCACGGTTCTTCTTTTGAAAACTTCACTGCTCTTGGTTACCCCAGTACAGTTGGAGGTAGGCTGAAGTCATTTTGCTGCTATTACTGTTATATAACAGATTCTGGCTTCTAACCACTTTGGTACATGAAGAGTGCATGAGGGGCAAAGTTTGGAAAGAAAGATAAAAGCTGTGGGCCCAAATCATCTTAAAGGTGGCCACCTCTGTAATAGGTTTGCAGTTTAGAAGAGGTTGTAATTTCATTTCATAGCAAATGAAATGAATGCTGTTTATTACTGATGTTTACCAGTACATTGCTTCTAGATGTACTACAACTGCATTAAAACTCTCTCAGCTGAGAGAAAGCCATTCCTTGGTTGCCCTTTTTACCAGTATATTTTCCTTTGTGCAAGGTTGTAAACTGTGAGAATGGCCCCAGAATTTAAGCTAGAACAATCCAAATTACCTGTGTATCCTGGTATTAATGGGTGACGTTCATCTACTTGTCGCCGATATGCTTTCATGCTTTTTCAAACTATGATTAAAGAAAATGAACATTCATAATAGAATTCATAATCATAATGCACCTTCAGGTCAAAACTTATGGCAACACTATTTCCCAGAGTTTTCTAAGTGCAGAGTACTCAGAAGTGCTTTATCGTTCCTTTCTTCAGGGCCCATCCTGGGACTGTGCAGCTTCCCAAGGCTACACAGGCTGGCTCTTCTCCTGAGATGGAGATGCACTGTGGGGAATCAAACTCCTAACCTCTGGGTCTGTAGTCAGATACCTAATTCACTGAGCTACAATATTACTAACCCTAATGAGTTTTGCCCCATTTGTCAGTGTCATACATATTACTATATGCCTGTTTGGAGTGATGAGTGAACATAATCAGTGTAGTCAGAAGGTACTGAAAGGGAAGAAGTGTAGTAATCATTTCCTTAACAGTCATTAACAACAGTAGTTGGGTGTGAACACAGATATTCTGACTTTAATGAGCTGATTAATACAGGTATATGTAGCATATTTTGTTTTTACTGATGACACATAGGGTGAGCTGCAGTCCCAGGTAGTTTATGGCAAATAAAACATTACCAAGCAGACAATCGAAACACAAAGGAAGGGGAGACAGAGCAGAGGGAGAGAAAGCCCAGAATAAAAAATCTTGAGATCAGTCACAGCAAAAGCTCCTTCCCTGGCATACCTTTTCGAAGCACAGTATAAAGAAAGGGGGCGGGGGGGGGATGTTGAGAAAAAAGAAATCTACACGCACTACTGCCCCCTACTGTACGCGGAGTGCAGAAAACGTAATCACCCAGAGTCTTCGTAGACAAAATCCGAAGAGCAGGAACCGTTTCTCCAAGCCATGCGCTCCCTCCTTCAACCTGGCTGAGGAGGCCCTTCCTGTCCCTCACAGGAGAGGCCGGCCTTTGCCCGGTCCCCCGTCGCACGCCATTGTGACCTCAGCCTTGGCGACCTTTGCAAGGCATAGAAGGGGACCGAGACTTCCAGAGCAGAATCGGGACGTGCGCTGGGGGAGCGTAAAGGGGCTAAGGCCGGAGAGGGGTGAGGGAGGAGGAAGTAAAAATGCAAACAAAACACGCAGGGAGCGGGCAGGCGAGGAATTCCGCTTGGCTCTCAAAGCCCCTCGTATTTTTGCGTCGGGAAGGTTTTCTGCGGGCAGCAAACGATGCATAGCTTTCTGCCTTGATGGCAGCTTTCGTGGGGGGGGGGGAGCTCTACATAATGTACAGGCAGCTTCCCGCTCGAATACATACAACTCCCCCCTTCCATTATTAGAAGGTCAGGCTGAAAGATGGTGTGACTGATCAACAAGGTTAACCAGTAAAAGTGGTGGAATTTGAACTTGAAATCTCCCTTTCCTTAATTTCATACGCTTAACCATTACCCCAGACTGCCTTTCAAACCTGGCCCTGGTCTAAACGACCAGGCTGCTCAGATCCTGGGTTAAAGCACCAGAATTGGAAAAATACCTCTAGGACTGTTACCGTAGTTCCAGATATTTGAAATTGTTTTCTCAAACCTTGGAAATGCTATTAGGATCGCTATAAATTGGCTATGAATTGACAGCAGGGAACACAGTCTAAAAATAACTGTCATGGTTCTGTTTTCTTGGCATCTTGGGTTTCTCTACATAATTAAGACTGACATCTTAAGCACATTAGAAATATATCATATTATCCCTAATGGGTTTGACTCCTGACTGTATATGTAGGATTGTGTTGCAACTCTCAAAAATATTTGCCAAAAAACGGCCTTGTGTCTTAAAATCCTGTGGCATTTTGAAGATTAACTTATTTAGTATACAGTAGTATGATTATACCTCACTTGAGGAACATACAGGTAGCATGCATAAGAAGAAATTATTTTAAAATGAAAACGTCAAGGAAGTGCTAATTAGAAGAACATGGGATTTGATTTGTTGTAAGTGGGAGGGGTTTGATATTTTGTTTTTGTTTAGTCATTTAATTGAGTCTGACTCTTTGTGACCCCATGGACCAGAGCACGCCAGGCACTCCTGTCTTCCACTGCCTCCTGGAGTTTGGTCAAATTCATGTTGCTATCTCCGCTGACACTGTCCAATCATCTCATCCTCTGTCTTCCCCTTCTCCCCTTGCCCTCACACTTTCTCAACATCAGGGTCTTTTCCAGGGTGTCTCGTCTTCTCATGGGATGGCCAAAGTACTGGAGCCTCAGCTTCAGGATCTGTCCTTCCAGTGAGCACTCAGAGTTGATTTCCTTCAAAATGGATAGGTTTGTTCTCCTTGCAGTCCAGGGGACTCTCAAGAGTCTCCTCCAGCACCACAATGCAAAAGCATCAATTCTTCGGTGGTCAGCTCTCACTTCCATCCATCGCTACTGGAAAAACTATAGCATTGACTATGCAGACCTTTGTCAGCAAGGTGATGTCTCTGATTTTTAAGATGCTGTCTAGGATTGACATCACTTTCCTCCCAAGAAGCAGGCATCATTCAATTTCGTGGCTGCTGTCACCATCTACAGTGATCATGGTCTTAGTTTTTTAAACTCTGTTACTACCTCCATAACGTCCCTTTCTATTCGCCAGGAGATGATGGGGCCAGTGGTCATGTTCTTAGTTTTTTTTTTTTATGTTGAGCTTCAGACCATTTTTTTGCACTCTCCTCTTTCACCCTCATCAAGAGGTTCTTTAATTCCTCCTCACTTTTTCCCATCAGAGTGGTATCATCTGCATATCTGAGGTTTTTGATATTTCTTGTGGCAATCTTAATTCCAGTTGAGGATCCATCCAGTCCTACCTTTCGCATGATGAATTCTGCACATAAGTTTCATAAGCAGGGAGACAATATACAGCCTTGTCGTACTCCTTTCCCAATTTTGAGCCAATCAGTTGTTACATATCCTGTTCTAACTGTTTCTTCCTGTCCCACATATAGATTTCTCAGGAGATGTATAAGGTGATCAGGCGCTCCCATTTCTTTAAGAACTTGCCATAGTTTGCTGTGGTCCACACAGTCAGGCTTTTGCATAGCCAATGAAGCAGAAGTAGATGTTTTTCTGGAACTCTCTGGCTTTCTCCATAATCCAGCACGTGTTAGCAACTTCATCTAAAGTTCCTCTGCCCCTTCAAAATCCAGCTTGTACTTCTGGGAGTTCTCATTCCACATACTGCTGAAGCCTACCTTGTAGGATTTCGAGCATAACCTTGCTAGTGTGTGAAATGAGTGCAATTGTATGGTAGTTGGTGCATTCTTTGGCACTGCCCTTTTTGGGATTGGGATGTAAACTGATCTTTTCCAGTCCTCTGGCCACTGTTGAGTTTTCCAAACTTGCTGGCATATTGAGTGTAGCACCTTAACAGCACCATCTTTTAAGATTTTAAATAGTTTGACTGGAATGCCATCATCTTCACTGGCCTTGTTGTTAGCCATGCTTTCTAAGGCCCACTTGAGTTCGCTCTCCAGGATGTCTGGCTCAAGTTCAGCAACCACATTATCTGGGTTGTCTGGGACATCCAGATCTTTCTGGTATAATTCCTCTGTGTATTCTTGCCACCTCTCCTTGATGTCTTCTGCTTCTGTAAGATCCCTACCATTTTTGTCCTTTTTGTTCTTTGGTGTCAGTTCTAGAAGGTGTTGTAGGTCTTCATAGAATTGGTCAGTTTGAGCCTCTTCAGCAGAACAGAAACAAAAGGGATTTGATATAAAACCACCCAAATTCTTGAAAAAAAGAGTTTGGAAAATAACTTTTTAAAATGAGTTGTTACAACTCCAGTGCTAAATGTAGTTTATTCCTGTTACAGTTATAATTTTTAAAGTTCTTTATTTTCTTATTCACATAGTTAATTTTAATTCTTTTAAATAATCAGTGTTCTACAAGCTACTGGCCAGTAGCACATCCATAGCTACAGTTAAATGACAAACGTATTGACATTACCCTCTTTATGTGACATTATAATAAACTAATATAGCTTAATTATGCCTTTTTAAAAAGGGAATTATAAATTAGTCATACCAGGATCTGCCTACTTCCAAGTAGCTCCCCTTTCTCCCTTTTGCAATAAATGATTAACAAGATTAGCATGCAGAGCTTCAACTAAAAGCAGCTGCTTAACTGGAGCAAGAAATTTTTCAAACCCCTATAAAAAACAAACAAGATTTTGTGTTTTTTCAAATCCCATTTTTCTTGCTCCATCTTCTCTTCTGGAGCTATTGTGTTCATCTGTAGTAAGTGGAAGCTGACTGAAGGGTTCTGGCCAGGAGACTGACAGCAAAAAAAAACTTTTTTGCTATGGCATTAAACGCTGCCCTTCTCCAACTGGAACAAACTAAGAAGAAAATTTAAACCAACCTTTAGGAGGGGATAAAAAAACACTCCAGAAGATTTCACTGTTCAAGCAATACAAGCCTTACATCATATGGATGGTGGGTCAAATACTGGTAAGATCAGTATTGAATCAGATACAAAACAGACAACAGGTGCCTTGCCTGGAGGAGCCATTTGTTGAATTGGGCTCTTCCAGAAGGGGGAAAAAGTTCCTCATCTTTTCTCCTGATTAGTTCTTGTTTGTTGCAGAAGATCAAGGAACTAATGGGATTTCTGTCTGTGCTGTCTTGGCTAGTGCATGTACAGCTGGGACTTTTGCCTCACCATACAAGGAAGCTCAGGTTTTTAGACTTAACTACTTTTGCCTCACCTCACTGTACAAGGAAGCTCAGGTTTTTAGACTTAACTCCAGCATCTCCAAGGAGTGGAGGTGATCGCTGTGGCAGGAGCTTCTTCGGCTGACTCACATAGTGATCAGGATCCTCTCCCCCACCAGAGCTGCGGTTAAGCTATACACCTACTTGGGGACTAGTAGAGAGAACAAAGAAGGGAATGAAGATTTATTTATTTATTTATTTATTGGCTATACATCTACTTGGGGACTAGTAGAGGGAACAAAGAAGGGAATGAAGATGAGGAGCAAGGGGGGGGGGATGATGGATTTGTGCTACAGTGAGGAGCAAGGGGGGGGATGATGGATTTGTGCTACAGTGTTAAACTCTGCCCATCCAACGGACCTGGAGTAAACTGAAACACCCTTCCCACCTTCAGAAGGGGGGGAAGTATGCAAAATCACAGATTTGTCACTGAATCGAGGCAAAGCTTTATCAATCATCAGTGATGGATCAAGTACATTTTTGAGAATAAATGCCCCATTTGGACAACCATCTGTCAGATCTGCTTTGATCTGGAGTCTTGCATTGAGCAGGGGGTTGGACCGAATGGCCTTAGAGGTCCCTTCCAATTCCATTATTGCATGATTTTGTAATTTGAAAGAAATCTACAGGAGTCTGCTTAAGCCCTATCACATTGAAGTTTGAGAAGGGCTTCCACAGGGAACTTTCTGCTGGCTGGTGCCTTTTACTGAAAATAACCTTTACAGAAAAAAAAACCATAAATAATCAGCAAAACACATCACCCCACACAATTTGCTGTATTTTATTTGACAGTTCTGAAGAGCACTTTGTAGTCAGCAGAAGCAAATGTGACAAGCTGTGATCTGTTCTAGAACTTGGTACTCTTGTACAAGAAGAGTATGAGATCACAATGGCTGTTTTTTTTTTAACAATACATTTGAAAAGTTATCCAAGCAAATATGAATCCTGTGTTGTTATACCCATCAGACTGTACACAATACACTCTCTCTGTGTGTATGTTTAAAGTGTAAATATGTAGCTCATTATAGCAAGTAATACATTACTGCAGGTTAAAAAGTGCAGCTTTAATAATATGCCCAAATCAGTATTTGGAAGTGAGATATGGAGTGTTGGTTGAGGTGTCTTTTTATAGCACTTCTGCCAAACTCTTGCCATGATTCTTCCTTTCCAAATTTATGTTAAGCCACTTTCTTCCCCCCTCCCCCGTGCCCCCATGTTTGGGCCTAGAGAGAAAATTCTGAAAGCAAAGGAGGCTTTGCTAAGAGTTAAGAATTCGTGTTTTTTTAATAGAGCTTAGAGAGCACAACATTTCCCTTACATCTCTTTTGACCAAAGTCTGCAAGAAACCTGCAGCAGAAAACACACATCTACTCTACAGAAACCTTAGTTTCCTACTTCTCGATCACTTCTACCACCTTAACAAGATGGGGCGGGGGTAAATGCTACATATAGGAGAATGTTCATTTTAAACATAGCATGAGGATCCATACTAAAGCTCATAGCCACAGCATCACAGTCTATTTCTAAAAAGTTCCATTAGACACCTAACCGGGATCTGCTATTATTTGGGTAGTCAGGATACAATTCTGAGTGGCAGAGAGCATGCCCAGCAAATGGCAACAGTGATACAGATAGTATTTGTTTTTGTTCTAACTAGTTACTGGTGTTTGGTTACATTTATATGCTTATTACCGATAATAGGCAGTGAATCAGACAATGTTAAGTAGCTAGACCCCAAAGAGTATTTTACGCAACAGCTTTGCCGTGGCTCTAGTTTTTTGTTCTCCAGGGGGATTCTGCTGGCATCAGTATCGGCTGACACGGTTCGTCTGGTGCACTGTGTATTTTTGAAGAGCTGCAGCCATCCATGAGGCATCTCCTTTCATTGGCTGCAGGCCAAATGAATGAATGAATTACGCTGGGAGAATTAATTGATTCAGATACTTGTGTCCAAAAGATGCTTCCTGCTCAAAAGCAAGTACACCGCTGGGCAAAATGCAATTTTACCTAGATTAATAAACTTATCTTCCTGTCAAAATGGAAGAAATCTCTTTGCAGAAGTTAAGACACCTCTGGTCTGAGATATGATGGAAATCTTATGATCTTGTCCTGCAATTCTGTTGATAATTTAGACTGGATTTTCAGTAGTGCAGAATTAGGGATAGTCTTTTTGACCTGGAATGATAGCTGTTTATTTATTCGACTTTTACATTGCCCATCTGGCTGCTAAGGCCACTCTATTTTCATAAAGCATTGAAAAGACCAGTGTATGAAAACAAATTAATACATAAATGTTTACACACACATTTGTTCAGAGAAGAGTAAGGTATAGTGCTTTACTTTAGAGTGTTCTTTCATACAGGTAAGTGGGATCATGCTTCTAATTATCTTTAATGGAGATCCTCCATTAAAAAAGAGAAACATAATGGAGGGTTACAAGATAGTGCAGAAACAATGTTATAAACATATGCTAGAAAACTTGTTAAGTACACACTTCACCAACTCTAAATGTACCTGCTTATGTCAACAAAAGGAGAGTTTAATATATGATTATGGTCTTGAATAAACGATAGAAACTAAGGATGGATGATCCTAATCTATCTTTGTGACTGATTACAAATAAACCAATGTAGGCTATTTATTCCAGACATAGAAAAATCGGGTGCTTCCAGATAATGCTTTTATTGATCTTACTTCATTGACAGAATTTGAGGGGCAGAGGTTCCACATGCAGAACTTAGTGAGACTTGTTCTGGATGTGCTGTAATTTGATCCTACATTATCTAATTCTAAAGCTCCCTCCCTGTAGTGAATGCATGATGTTGTCACTGCAGAAAGTGGAACAGTGAATTGTCAGGCTGGGTAAAGTATATAAAGTTTTTCTGACCCCAGGCAGCAAACAATCATATTTCCAAGATCTGGGAAGCAGATTGTTTGATAGGGTTTTTAGAATAGCTGACAGACTATAAAGAGTTGTTCAATCTATTGTCGCAAAACCATCCAGTATCCTGTGATTTCATTTGTTGATGTTTGTCTTCCTACTGTGTCAAAATTTCTGCAACCCTAGCATAGTACAGTTTGTGGAACCTGCAACTCACCAGCCACATGTTAAAAGTGAAAAAAGAATGTTACAAAGAGCATGTTAAAACTTAAAATGAATTTAAAACCCAGCAGTATGTCTGCACGCTATTATCTGTGTAGCAAGGACAGAAATGTGGTATTGTCTGGCGTTCTGACACTCCTCTCCCCTTATTATAAGATCAGCTTTGTGCATTAACTATCTTGCAGTCCATAAAAGCCTATAATTACTGAAGGAGGCTGTAAAACTGTGTTATTTAAAATTAACCACTAAATGCAAATCAACACCAATAAAGACCATTCTGTACAAGAAAATAGGATTTTAGAAAGAAAAAAAATCTGTACAATATTTAAATACTGTATATGCATAAAATTATTTTGTTCATTGCTCGTTCTAAGGACTTGCTTATTTGTAAACAATGGAAGGCCACACACACATATAGAAAATCAAATTAAAATAGCTGCCTTTAAAAACATAGTGGGCAAGGTAAAACAAAGAAAGGCATGCCAGCATGCACAGTTGCTAATTATTCCAGTAGAATAATTATTCAAGAAAGAGCAAATGAGGTACTGTGTCCAACATCCCTTTGAGAGTTACATCAGCAGAGCATATTCACATTCTGTCAGGGAATGATATAAAGAATATAACATAGAGTCTTTCCCCTTTAAATACTTGACAGAAAATTTAACGTGTTTGTACAATACACACCTGCCCCCCATGATATTTAAGTGCCTGATAAGGAGTCTGAGAATTTAAAACAAAACAATCATATGGCTTTTCAGCCATGCATAGCTAATAGGTAAGGTGTTCAGTTGAAGAATTGAAAGAGTAATGGAGTTCAGTGGATGCCAGTGTTTTTTTCCAGTTTTGAAAAGTAATTTCTTTTTTAATTGATAGCAGTGGCAGTTAGCTTTGTGGGAGCTAATTGTGGGGATCCATTTTTCCCTGGGGTTAGCTATGCACCCAACAGTCCTCTGATGTAATTTTAAACTGCATGATATGGACTGCAACCTGCTAGTTGGGAATGGAGTCAGATATTGGAAAAATGACTTTTTAAAACACCACCTCCCAGAACCCTCCACTGGCATGATCACATGGGCTGGAGAATTTTGGAAGTCTTTGTTTAAAAAACAATAACATATTTCCAAATTCTGAATGATTCATGCATTTTCATCATGTCACTCCTAATTCAGTAGTTTGACCTAATCCATGGTACAGTGGGGTCTCTACTTAAGAACTTAATCCGTATTGGAAGGTGGTTCTCAAGTTGAAAAGTTCTTATGTTGAATCTGCATTTCCCATAGGAATGCATTAAAAACCATTTAATCCGTATCTGCTCTTTTCCGTCCATAGAAACTACAGTGGAACCTCTACTTAAGAACTTAATCCGTTTTGGAATGGTGTTCTTAAGTTGAAACGTTCTTAAGTTGAAGCAAAATTTCCCATAGGAATGGCCATGTCACTCCTAATTCAATAGTTGACCTAATCCATGGTATACTATATGCGATTAATGGGAAGATTTTGACAATGATGAATCATTCCAGACAAACCAGTTGCCATACATAGGCACTGTGATTGCACTATGCTTTGAAGTGCCTTCTGTGGATGGGGGCTCCTCCTGCTCTGCTCTGAGTCACACTTGAAAAAGGTCTAGCTGGTCCCTTATACCTGTTGACAGTTTTTACTGGCACGGATTCAATGTGTCTTTTTAATTTTATTTTTTTTGTCATAGTGGTGAAAAAAAGCTGGTGGGGAGCAGGAGCTGAATATGATACACAACTTACTCAATGTGGGATAGGTAGTTACATTAAGGGAAGTAAAAGGGAACACAATGTGATAATGTGAATGGTTCTGTGTGTGCACAGCTGTGGTTTCAACAATCTGTGTGTGTCTACCTGGTGAAGCAAAACCTCATACAGTTTTTTCATCTATAGATGAACTGAACTGATCCAACAGAAAGATGCTGTCTTTCTTATACAGGACTTTGCTCTACAGGAACATGTTCTTAAGTAGGGACGTTCTTAAGTAGAGACCACACTGTATACTATATGCGATTAATTGGAAGATTTTGACAGTGATGAATCATTCCAGGCAAACCAGTTGCCATACATAGGCACTGTGATTGCACTATGCTTTGAAGTGCCTTCTGTGGATGGGGGCTCCTCCTGCTCTGCTCTGAGTCACACTTGAAAAAGGTCTAGCTGGTCCCTTATACCTGTTGACAGTTTTTACTGGCACGGATTCAATGTGTCTTTTTAATTTTATTTTTTTTGTCATAGTGGTGAAAAAAAGCTGGTGGGGAGCAGGAGCTGAATATGATACACAACTTACTCAATGTGGGATAGGTAGTTACATTAAGGGAAGAAAAAGGGAACACAATGTGATAATGTGAATGGTTCTGTGTGTGCACAGCTGTGGTTTCAACAATCTGTGTGTGTCTACCTGGTGAAGCAAAACCTCATACAGTTTTTTCATCTATAGATGAACTAAACTGATCCAACAGAAAGATGCTGTCTTTCTTATACAGGACTTTGCTCTACAGGAACACAACAGTTGTATTTCTTTTTCTTTTAACATGTACAAGAGTTAATGAAAATGCCTCCTTCTGCTCTCCAACCCAAGAACAGAGGTGCTTGCTGGTTAATTATTGCTACTGTACTTGTTTGTTTGCTGCCTATTAATGGGCCAGCTGAAGATCGCCTTAATGACTACAGGGTGTCCAGAAGCAAAAAGTGACATGGGGAAATATTCAGATGTTTAGTAACTTTTGGGAGATTTATAAAACATTTTTATATGAAGTCAAAAAGGAGTGCATATAGATACAAGAGCTGTAATGTTCCTGATTATTTGGGCAGCATACATATTATTTTAAAAATACAAGTGCTTGTAAAAATCACATATGGTAAGCACCATTTTCAAATGTAGGTTTTGTTTCTCTTGTATCAGAGAGAATTTTTCCTAGAACATAACTAATTTCCATTGTATATTTAACCACTTGGAGTTATTCAGTTTCATTTGTAGCACCTGGTAACCAATTATTATGAGTGCTATAAATAGATAATTATATGTGGATGTGATCTACCAATTATATAATTTATATGTCCTGCTCCAGAAACATTCAGAAAATTTAATCAATAGCTAGATTGCTTTAAAATATGTTCAACCTGGCTGCATCCCTAGCAAATATTTTCTGTTGCATGGAAATTTTAACACAGGTGGTCAATTTCTCAAAATGAATTAACTGTTTTAGTTATTATCGGAAAAAAGGAAAGTCCAATGGCTTAAAACTTTAGTGCTTATTTTAAAGCAAATAGGAAAGATCTGTTTATAATATTGCTGAACACTTATAAATCACCACTGATATTAACCACAGCAATAGCAAAAATATAATATTTTCATGCTGCATAAAAGAATTTGTGCGTATGTTTGTGTCCTATGCAAATCTCTTTGATTTTAATTTGCTGCACCGGATATTCTTAAATACAAGTCTAAGGATATCAGCCTTGATAATTTGGGTGCTAAGTGCAGAATGTATAAAATACTTCAAAGTAAAGCTCTTTTTTTCAATTAAGAGGGTAGTGGCATTTCAGTGATTAGTTCCCATTGTGTACTTAACCACTTGGGGTTATTCAATTTCATTTGTAGCACCTAATAACCATTTATTCTGGGTCCTATAAATACATAATTTCAACAACAACCAAGCCTGATGCTCTCTTTGAACGACTGTCAAATGACAGCTAATGTGTAGCTAAAGTTGAAGTCCATTTTGTGACGCATGAGATATGAGAGAAGAGAGGATTGAAACAGTAGGTGGTGGGAAGAGAAGGCATACTAATTAGTAATTGAGGAAATCAATACCGGCTTTGACACTTTTAGAGGTGGCAACATCAATTGCCATGGCTTTAATCTCAGTGTCCCCAAACTGCATCAGTGTTTTGATCTCCCTCCGGTTTGGCACAGATATGTCAGTTCCTGTGAGATCCAGACGGAGCGTGCCACACTTTTTCACTCCCGGCTCAGTGATGAAACTGACATTATCGTGTTCTGAGCTGTAGATATTGATCACGATGACCAGCTGCGAAGGCTTCGCAGGAGTATAACTGCGTGACACAGTCTCGCCAAGGGCCACCGACTGGTTAGCGGAGATGAATTTGTCAAACACATCAGTGCACCAGCGGGTGCCATCTTTAATTAGCAGCTTTTCTGGAGGGTGTTTCCCTTCCATGTAACGATTCAGAACCCCAACCCCATAGGTCAGGGGAGAACGGCGCACTTTAATGACAGCAGGATCCAAACCAAACAACACTGCGCCTTTAAGAATTGTGAGACCCACATCCTGCGGAATAATGATCCGGCATTTGGAACCAAAAGCATTCTGGATAGCTTGTTGAAGTAATGGAGCTTCAGCAAATCCACCCACCAGGAACAGGAACTTCACATTATTTACTTCTGGCTTTTCGAACAGATCATCTGAGGAGATATAGAAGTCCATAGAATCAAGACAAGGCCTTCTAATGACAAAATAATTAAATGTA